GATGAGGCTGGACTCGAAACTGACTAGGATATTTTAAAGATACAACAGGATATAGTTTTGATGGTAAATCATTTCATTCTGCTACTACAGGATATAATGCTCCATTAACTGTAAATGCACAGGTCCTTTTATTCATATCTAAATAAACAGTAACTGTGCTATTATCCTGATTAAATTCAGGACATTATCTTATCGAATTGTTGCCATGATCTGTTGTACCCGAAGAACCTAACACCCATCTGATATGTTTACATCCGTGTAATGAAATTTCGTTCTTGCATAATATTTCTATTTCACTATATTTTTGGTTATCAATTAATAACCTAAAGTCTTATTCTAATGAATATCTTCTCGTCATTTTAGCAATATCTTAATATCTTCTTTTCTTTAGTATATTTAATATGATGTGGACGATTTGATTCGTTTGAAAAGAAATTTATAAAAAGATTTGAAATCATTTATCGTAATTAAAAAGTAAATTCATTAAAACGCGTGATTTATTACCACAAAAAATTAAAATTATGTAATAATGTAATATTTTACGTTTTTTTAGCATTGCATCATTATTTTACAATTATTTATCAAAACTTTATCTACATCATAAATGTAACATAATCACATTTTTTTTAAAAATTATTGACAAACAGAGTTCAATTAATACAAATAAAAATTGGTGACTTCAACTATTTGCCAAAACATTCTCCTTAAATTTATTATTATAAATTCCGTCGTAGAAAGCATTTCGAGCACCGCTTTATAACATAACAAAAGTTTTTACAAAAGAAAATCAAGCAACAAAAATACAGGAAATGATTTATGTTTTTACTATTCCCATATTATCAAGGATGAAAACTAATTTATTAAGGCAAACTTCTCATCACGTCATAATGTTTGCACACATCCGAGCAACCGTTCCGAATCGTTTTAGTGAAGATTAATAACAGTTGAGTTTTATTTTATATAAAAGTTTGGATTCAACAGATTGTTGAACATGTTGCTATATCTTACATGATAGATACGCTTATAATTCAGTAAAGGAGTATAGCATTCGTGACGTGACAAATATTCCATTTATGTGGTTTGAACGCAGAGGAACAGAAAACGCAGTAAAGTTACTGTTATCATTACGTTTTTAATTATCATTAAATTTGTAAATATGCGAAACTATTTTTAATATGAGCTCTTTAAGCTCCGTTAAAAAAGACCATCGGTTTCGTGTCCAGAGTGCCTTTGGATTTAAGATAAAGAATAAATGTTGATGAGATTCATATCAAAATCATTATTGTTGAGGCGAACCTTACTAAAGAAAAATACAAATTCTCTTTAGTTAGTTTCTTTACTCGAAACGCAAAATTTTACATTTCATGTGTACATATATTCTTAATTTATATAAAGTTTCAAAAATTGAAATCGTCAACCGTATGTCTTTACTTTAATCATTTATGATTACAAATTAAAATATTAAAAATAAAGTTAATTGAACCAAACCGAATATTACTATTAATGAAGAAGAACGGGTCGAAGCCTTATTCAATTACATCAAAAAATAAAAAATTATAAGCGATGTCTTAACGTTATTGTTAAACTGCAATATCCGTACAAAGTTATAAAGGGAGATATTATGAAAAACTAATTAAGTAAATTCAATTTTTTATATAGGCTAATTCCCTTTAAAGAAAATATATTTATGGCTAACTTACATTCAGTTGAATAAGAAGGTAAGTTCCATAATTTATGAATGCCGTTTTCTCTATACTTCGATATCATAAAGTCGGCCAACGTCTGGTAATCTGTTGATGGGTTTAAAGAGTTGATACAATGGATCATGCTGAATTTGATAGATCGCGTTTGATACCGCCTGATATCCTGCACCCGATACAGACCCCGGCGAAAGTAATGGCACTTAGTTTTTTAATAATTTGTGCGCAATTTTATAATAAAAATTCAA